CTCCTCTGATGTAAAACTCATATGAATGCTAGTAAGTCACTGTGCCCATAGTTTTTCAGTGCTCAGAGGTCAAAAAATGAGTACTGCAAAATTATGCACAACCTTAATTACCACTATTCACATTTTAGACAGACAAACATTTCCTAAAGTACCTGACCAGACTGCTTCCAATACTTCTACAAACAGAAGTCCTGTTCCTTGTTGCACAAGGAACAAAAGGTCAAAAAGCTCCCAGATGAGCTCTTGAAAACACACTAGCTACTAAGAATATACAACATCAAAACACATGTATTCATACTGCATGTCACTAATTGATTTCAGCTACTTCACTATGGCAAGGCATACAGTGAAGGTGCAGTTGGAAAAGGTGTGTAAAGTGTATCTGTGGGTCATGGCACCTACAGCCCAGTGGGGACTCAGGGCTAACTGAAGGCAGAGCTGCCTTACAGCAGGACAAGGGCTACTTCAGCAGAACCCTGGAGTAAAGCTCACCACACAGATCAGAGAACTCCAGTGTTTCTGCCATGTATTTGGTCCTAATTTCCTGCCACTACTGCTCCACCCTATTGTGAGTCATACTTTGGCCAGGTGGTACTACTGTCAAATTATTGGCTAACTCAGATTAAATAACACCCCATAAAGAAACAACCACCACCTGTGATATTTATGCTGAAGTATCTGATGCATTGTGTAGATGCCTTGAAAGCATGAATCCAACAAGAATCATTAGCAGTACCAACTGACAGAACACTTAATGATTTGCTGGAAGGACACAGGAAAAAAAAAAAGGCAAAAACATAAATTTTTAAAAAAAAAGCAAGCCAACTACTTATGATCACCTCTCTTTGATGCAGTGCAATTGGTGAGTTCATAAAAGCAGTTAACACACATGAGATCAGAGTATGCTTAAAATAATGGTGGTCAAAGAGAGACGTGAGGGAAAAACACAGAGGGGGCAAGGAGATCTTATTCAAATAACAGCTGTTTAGGAAAAAGAAAACGGTAAGCATAGTAGCTGCTGTATGTTTCTGCTTTGTCTTTTAATAAAGTTCAAAGAAAATAAAAAAGACAAAATTAAGCATTCCTTGGTGCTGGTCTATTTACCTGCCAGAATCACTGCAGTCTTGACTTTCTGAAAATGTATTTCCAGAAACAACATTTAACACAGTGCAGCGATATTGTCCCATAAAAGCTAAACCAGGCCATGTGAAAAAGTGGTTAGAGAAAAAGTTCAAGTTCAAAGCATTACCTATCAGATAGTGACAGAGGATGATTCAATGTGATGCTGTTTTCCCCTTGCTTAGCCATAAAATTCACTAAAAATTAACTTTCCTACATAAAGAGCATATATTTCTCATGCAAGACACTACTACAAACAAACCCTCCACTTTTTTTTTCCATTTTTTTTTAATTGGACTTTAAGTGTGTGTCATGCATGCTCAGGTGAGACCCTTATTTTGATTTAGAATCAAAATAAACAGTCCACAAGCCATTACACTATTTTTATTCTTCTATACGAGTCCAAAATCCAGAATAGATTAGTATGGGTATATCAGTATATGTAATTCATCTATATACAATAATACAAGTTCTGTAAGATAAGCTGCTCATGGATGTCTTCACAGACTTGATTTGAATGTAGATTTCACTTAGCAGTTATCAATTTAGCCTACACATCACTCATACACGACATTTGCTGCACAGGCAATGTCATAGGACTAAACACCACTTTGAGACCTCCTCAACTCTGCAGTCACACAAGATTTCTGAGAGACTATTATATTATTGCTAATAAAAACAATACACTCAGCTCTTTTTTGACTATATTAAATTAGAAGAATTTTACACAATAATCTGTACAGACAACTGGTACAATAATAACCTAAAAATGCACCTAAGGCCCTCCCTACACCTTGAGCTAGTCTCTGCACAATGCTGTAATATGGTTCCTAGTCTTGAGACAAAACACTAGGGCTCATCATATTCTGATATGTGTCCTGAGACAGGAGAATCCCATGGCTAGGAACAGGCTCAGATAAAGACTGTGATATGGTCATCACCAGAATAATACACACCTGACAAACAGGCAGGAACCACAAAGATACCTGCAGGAATTACAGAGGAGAGGTCAGTAAGCCTTGATCTACATGTATTATAGGTACTTATTTTTCCCCAAATCAACAGTAGCTGCCATTCTATAGCAACATAGAACATCTTCTGCATTGTGATTTAAATGCACCACCAATGATGACAAGGCTATAAATCACTTTAGCTAAAGTTTTATTATAGTTGCCTTGATGCCATCCTAGCATAGATAGGTGTGACAAAAACCCACAGTGAAACCAACTACTGATGCCAGCTTTTTCAACACAAACACCAGAAAAGTGGACTGCTACGTCCCAAGCCTGACCATGCGTTCTGTTTTGTACCACAGCAAAAAGCATTTAAATACTTGGTCAAAGAGAACATAAAGCCATCTGTCTATGAATATTTATCCATCTTGGAAACTCTTGCCCACAAATTATTTCTGCAAGACATTTTTGTGTCTTGAACTCTCAAACTGGTAAGCAAGTTCTGTGAGGACACTCTCTTGACCCCATTGGCCTACACTGAGAAGCCTAGAAGAGGACTGAGTCTGATGCAAGCTACCTTGAGACCACACAAAGAGAAGACACCTTGCTTTGGAAAAAACGTGGTAATGAAAATGGAGCAGCAGCTCTAATAATTTATTTTACTACTGGCACTAGATACCATGACACTTTAGGTGAATACAGCTCAACAGACACCACCAACTGAAAAATCCCATCTCTTGTTGTGGTAGAATTCAAACAGAATATCTAGAGAGCAAATACTTGTAAGCTAAACAAGGCACTGCTTCCAGAACTACCCACTTCTCTAAGCTAATTGTAAGCCACGTAGGTCAGAAAGAACAAACTAATCAATGTGCAACTTCCGGGACATGAAAGGTGATGTGTGCTGTTACCAGAGCTGCACAGAGAAACAGCAAAGCATGTTGCCAAATCAGAGAGGTATGAAGTGAAACAAACCAACAACATCTGAAAGAAACAAAAAAATCTTAATTCCTTTTTCTAAGCTAAAAAATTCTGACTTTAGTCATCGGAAAAGAAAATGCATTCTTAAATCGACAGTCTGCTGCCATAGTTTTTTCAACCAAAAATAGCCTGAAGGTTTTACATCTGTGGCTAGTTTCACTTAGTGTACTTTGAGCTCTAGCAACGCTGCACTGACACAAACAACTTTCTGTCAGCTGAGGTGGTAGTACTAAAGTGTTTCTTTCATATATTTCTAAACTCTGAAAGCATTTGCTGGGTGTCAGAGATTTCACATTTGTAACAAAGTGAAACATTTTAATTTCATCTGTAACTTCCTCAAAAGACAAAGCAGTAAGAAAGAAAAAAGGTAACTGTTTTACCCAAAGGAAGGACCAGTGAAAGGCAGAAGTTTTTCCAGTGAGAATCAGAAGCTTCAAAGAAATCTAGGCATGGAAAAGACAAAAAGAGTAAACACTGACAGACTATTCTAGAAGATCAAGGGGAGGGAGGAGGATGAAAGGAGAAACGTTTGTCTCCAGCTGACTACACCATCTAGAAGGAATAGGCCTGAAAACAGATCAAGGTACCAAGCCCATGGTCAGACCATGTTACACCTCTGACCAGGATTACACTGTAGGACAAGAACAGACAACTGCAAGACACTGACAATGGAAGACAAAACACATCTCATAAATCTTCCTTGTTCACTCAAGTATTTAAACCAAAAATCTAACACTAAAAATAAAAACCAGCACCTATGGATGAGCTTTCCTATTCTATACTTTAATACATATCTGTATTAAACTCAGCTGGCTGAATAATAAAACATTAAGTGATTTCCTCACATAAGACACTGCCCATATCCCCAAAGCAGGGATCTTGTACTTGTTACTTGTAGCTGTTACAAGAGTGGCATTTGCCATTACCCTCCTGCTGGAGTTACACATTGAACAGACACAGCTGCTGTAGCCAGCCTTGTCTTGCTCCTCTTCTCTTCCTCTTGCAAAAACTGAAGGCTGATCCCTGAACTGTAACTTGAAGGAATAAAGGCAGAACTGATCTCCTCACTTTCTTTACATTTAAGTCAAGGTTTTTGTCTTTACTATTAAATAATTATATCAATTATTACTTTTGCATTGAATGAAACAAGAGTGGTTCTAACAGAGAGATAATTATTACTTTTTAACTTAGTTTTTAGAATTAATTTATTTACTTGAAGTCTCACTCCAGTACTAAAGCATACTTTCATTCGGTTTGTTTCCAATAAAAGTAAAAGTACAGTGCAAGCACAAATAAGATATAACTTTGTATTCTGTGCTGGGGTTCTGCTGGGTTTTTTTGTCTATAAGAACACACAGCTGTGTATAGCCAGCAGGTTTGTGTCGTTCTGCACAGCAAACCACGTCCTCTCTGAAATTCATGTTTCTTCTCACGGGCAAACATTGATAATGAGAACAGGATCACGACACACAGCTTTTAAACTTATCTGCCACGCAGCGAACACAGGAAAGTGAAGAACTGCAGAACAGCGTCGTTTAATCATGAGGAGCAGCCCAGTCAGCCAGCTACGGCTCCAAAGCAGGGCTCAGCGGAAAGGAAAGCAGCCACCAAGTCAACATTTCCCTAAATCTACCTGTTGTTGACACGGCTGAAGTCCCGAGTTGTCTCTCGTCGTCCTGCCCGCGCACACCCCGCTCCGCCACCCGCGGAGCCGCCCCAGCAGCAGCGCGGCCCCGTCCCGTCCCGCCGGACCCCGGCTGTGCCCGCTCCCGCCGCAGCCCCGCGCCGGGCCGGCACCAG